GCCAGAATTACCTTGGACAGGCACTAGTGCAGCGGTGTGTGCCTGCCTGGCAGCACAGGGCTGCAGAAACTCTGAGGAAAGATTATTTAGTGCCCAGAGGAAAACAAGCAATAGTTCTGGTTATTTCTTTTGGATATTTTATTGTTTTCTTTATGTCTCAGGCAGGGCTGTGATGTGTTTGCAAATGGAAATTTTATGCCATCACAGAAGTGCAGCTGGATGCACAGCTGCTTTGTCAGGGAGCCACCAATTCGGCCCTTTTGCTCCCCAGTTAATATATTTCTTTGCTAACTCCACGGGTCTCAAGGACACTGCGTGGTGGCAGGAATCCTTTCCACCTGTCAAGGTAATTACAAACAGGAGCTGCTCATACTGCCGCAGAGCTCAAGGGGCAAGGACAGCACGTCGAACCGGCTTTGCAACATCACCGACAGCCTTCCCAGCAGAACACAAGCAGCCTCCGTCTCCCAAAAGCAGGGGCCGTTCACTTTGGCTACAGCTCTCAGAACAAGCAACAGATCAAAGCACTGCCATCTGTTACCCACCCTTCTCCAAAGCCAACAAATACCATCTTCACCGACTTTACCTCTTTCGCTATGAGGTGGTATACACATGCCATACCTGCTCTGCTGTGCTTCCTTAGAATTACCAGACCAACCTTTTTCTTTACCTGCCTGCCTTCCATAACTGAACTTTCCCAAAATATTCTGCATTCCAGGCTACCAAATCCCAGTCCTCTGCTGGGACTGCCACCATTAGCCGGTATACCTTCTCTAAATAGAAACTACAGCTATAGAGTATATAAAAAAAAAAAGATGGCTTACCAAAAAAAAAAAGCTGTCTGTGGTTTACTGTCTGACACAAGCCATGTTAGACACACTGCTAGAAGCATTTATATTCCATGTTCGGTTGCCCCCATTGCACTAGCCTTTTCTAGATCCAAATCAATCAACCACCCAAAGTTTCAGCTGGATCACCTCAAGAGACCAGAAACACCCTCTATAGACCTCTGTGTCTTTCAAAATATGTACAGCCAGAAGCAAGATGATTTTTCAACCTACATTTTTTCAGAATCAGCTTAAGAGGCTAGCCTTGTGTTTTTCTTAACAGCATTGTGTCTTTTCAAGCTAACTCGAACGACGGGGATCATTCTTTATTCACCAGGAACATGCCCACAGCAGAGCAGAAGAGGATTTGGAATTAGCTACCTGGCAAACAAGTTGCAGAGTTCTTGTTCTTAATAGAGAATTGCCTCCCTCTCACTGCCAGAAAGCACATAATTTCTTTACCTGCTAATATTCTTTGCCACTAATCCTCAGTGCGTCTGTCCAGACAAGTAGGCATTACACATTCCATTGGCAGGAGGAGAACAAATACTCAACTTGTCTGGGCTGACCCACAGCAGAGAAGGGAAGCTGGTATTTCACAATGCTAGCAAGAAAAGCCTGTGCTAAGTGATACTAAGAAGAGTGGGACAGACTCTGATTAACACACAAGCAAATGCAGCTCCTTTGTAGTTTCTTATGAAAAACACAGTCAAACGTACTTTTCAGAGTGCTACGCACTGGCATCTGAACAAATCAAAGAGCAGACCAACCTGTCCCTGATCTGTCACGGCAATTAGGTTGCAAAAGGTCAAGGTTTTTAATAACTCAACTGTGTTTGGGAGCTACTTATTACTGCTTCGTTCCAGTCAATTATTAGTAATGAGTAAAACACAAGCTCATTCTCCCAGGAACTCCAAGAGGGATGTAGGCACTGTGAAAAAAATTTAGCCCTTAAAACTAAGCCTAAGACACACTGTCAGAGATCCTCCCCATAGGCTGTCACTGAACCACATCCAGAGGAGAAGCAGATGCTGAGGAAACCCAGAATTAGATTCTAACTTAATAAAATGGAAAAAAAAAACCAACAACCCAAACAACCTATTGACCTAACAGCCTCCAGCAGCAGGTGACTGCAGTGTGCAGACAGAACAGCTCAGCCTGGACCTACGTCCAGCAACTGCCTCCATCAAGAGCAGATGGATCCAATTGCTGGCTCTGCACTAACCGGACCCAGCACCCTTGGAGAGGGATCACCTACCTGAGGAGGAGAGCTGGAGTTCACATTGTCTTTTGGTGGACTCAGGGAAGGCGCTTCTCCTTGAAAACCACTGTTCTGTGGCTGACAGAGTTTCCTGAAAAACAGAATTTAGAGCTGTTCAAAGCCCATGCTTGACAAGCCAACAGATGGTATTTCACATCTTCCTGCAGAGCAATAAGCCCTTTTGTGGGCTCAAATTCTGACTGCTTGAAGATGCCATGAAAGCAGCTCGGTCAGGCACTTTCAGGCAGTTTCGATCTCGGACAAAAATCTAGGAAGAAGAAACTACTACAGAAAAATATCAATCGACAACATATGGTAATTGCTTATCTCTTTCTTGCCTTCCCATGTTTTTTGTAATTCTCCATGAAGGGAGGTAACACCTTGGACTGCCACTGCTGGGGTTGTTGCAGGGAGGGAGGGAGGAGGCAGGCTGAGCTATCAGACACACGAGAGAACTCCTTACTGAGGACAGAACTGATTTTCTGACAGTTTTACCTCTTTTCTCTTGACCTGGTGACTTCAGTATTCCAATAAATAACTTACAACCTCATAAAAATGATCCATACACAGATTAGTAAAAGCTGGCATTGAACATTAAAGTGTGTGGGAGATATATTCTAGCTACTGCTTGAAATACAGCTTAATAAACAAGACAGTATTTAAACTAATTTCTGATGATTTTGTCTCACCCAGTTAAAATTGCCTTCACAAGAAAATTCAGAAAACAAGCACACTGAAAAGGGGACAAAACTCAAATTTGGATGTTGAGGACTAAGTACTCCAACTCATTAGCACCATTGAAGCAACATTTTACAGGAACAGCAGTCCTCTTTCAGAAGCAAGCCCCTCTGGGTCCAGGAAAAGCAGGATTATAACAGGAACCGTTACAGTATTATTGATCCACTAGGATTTACATTTCGGGCGTCATAATAGTACTTTTAAATTGCATCATGCAAAATAGCGCTACTCTGCTCTTTATTTGCAGTATTCGACAAACAATAGAAACCTCTTGTAGCGAAAACATACAACGCAAGTCATTCTAATCACGTAAGCGTGTTAATTCACATTCACGCTGGGTATCTCTGCTCCCCACCGCCCAAGGGGCTCTCCTGATCTCAGAGTAAAGTTTCACAGCGTACCAGCTTTGCCCTACTCTTCCGACACCAGCCAGATTGCTGTCTATTAATCACCCCGGAAAAACTACTGTTGCATCAAGTTGCAGCTGTCAAGCTAAAAAAAAAAAATCAGGGTTAAAGGTTTTAATAAACTAGCTCTGCAGTCATTTTGTCACCAGCTGTACAGCCTAAATAAGCAACGTCTAACTTCTTCCACAAGAGGCTATAATCAGCTTTAAAGCGCGCACATATTTTTCAAACATTGGGAAGATTATTTCAGAGATAGAGCCCACAACTTTACAAGATTTTCTTTTAACCTGAGCTTGAACCTTCGGTCATATTGCAGCAACATTTAGGTGCCTGCAGTTTCTGGCTTCAGTTGCTGCTTTGTTTAATTTCTATTTCGAACAGTCTCAACAGCCAGGGATCAACTCAAGAAAAGTACTCCAAGACTGTGAAAACAGGAAGGGGAACAGTGATATTCCATAAACACTGCAGTGAAAGTGGCTTTTTGGATGCTGTTTGACTAGACTGAGCAACCTTGTCACATCTCCTAACACGTTAATTATGGATTTAAAAAAAGGGAATGAAAGATGACGACTTTCAATTCAGCAGCGCTCTTAACAGCGGAAAACCATTTCACTACAATGGTGAAAGAAGGATGGAAAACACAAACAACTTGAGGAAAAATGAGTTAATCTAACACAGGCACTGCTAGATACAGTTTTAATATTTACAGATGTGCTAATTATTGCAGCTGATGAACCATCGAGCAGCAACCGGATCTGAAAACTGAGAGGACATTTAACAATTGGCTGGATCTAGGCAACCACACAGACTACCGCAGCTGGCTGAAGTCCTGCGCCTGGTGCCTGTGCCCTTTTTGTGAATGTTTTTCTACTGTCTTCAACCCCTACATGTTTTTTCCATTCTGGAGCCTCGTTACCTGCATTGGCTGAGCGGGTCTTTGTTTGTACAGTTGAATACATCCTTTCCAAGGTCTATTTTTAGACCTTCACATAACTGAATGCCACAATTCTACAAAAAGCAGTAAACATTGCTTTCTACAGGGAAAAATTAACTTTTTTTAAAAGCCATAAAGATTGCATGGCAGTTGTATTTTTCCATTTAATTATTATTCAACATCAAGGCCATTTAAACGAGTCTGATTTTTCTTTGACATGCCAAAACACTTTAAGTGCAAGTTTCTGTTGGTTTAACAAAGTCTCATCTCCAAGCCCACTGTGCTTTCAAATCATGGAAACTCTTCAAACAGCATGCTCTACTTAATCTTAACTGAAAGTGCAATAAAAATCAATCTCAAAAACAAGTCAAGGAAAATCTTTATCTGCATTACAAAATCTGTACAAACACACTGAAAACCCAGAGGGGGAAATATAAACACTCAGAGCAAAATTCTCCTTTAAAAACCTGAGATACACGTTCTCTGTCCCTGCTGCCAGCCAGCCAAGAGCTTCCAAGCTTGGAGGCTTCACCTAAGGAAAAGTATCTGTAGAGGAAAAACTCTTTAGCAACCGACGAGACAAAGCTATCCTCTCAACTAATGGCTGTTAAGGGCTATTTTCAGGAAGGAACACGAGAACAGGTATCCCTTGGACAGTGAGGATTATGGTGTATGGACAGCAGGACGACCAGCATGTATTTTAGGGGACTTATTCTGCAGAACTGCCTCGTGCATCCCTTACTTCGTCAAATCTTAGTCTTGTAGGGCAACTGCGATACTAACAGAATTTGCAACACAAAGGAAAAAACATCCAAGTAAATAAATAACCAAATAATGCTACAGAAATGAAGCAGCAAAGTCTCCAAAGCAAACGGCTCTAGAGGAATACGGACATCCACAGGAACAGAACACAGAAGCGGCCGAGCAAGACAACGAGGGGACATGGCTGCACGGTAATGTCTCTCTCCTTGCCTTGAACAAACACGGCAGTCTGCACAGGAAGCCATGTACAAGAAGATATGGAAAAAGGAAAGGAGTGTTTCAATGGAGAGTTGAGCTGGACAAATTTGTCTTAATCCATTCATCTCCCAGGATTTGAAACCACCATTAACTTTCAACTCTAACTTTTGTTCTCCATCCAGGTTTTTCCCGTAGCTTTTAGTATAATGATTTAAAGGCAACCTAGGACAATCTGAAGCGTGCATCCACTTTCATATTCAAGTTTAGTCGACTTCTACAGCTGCCTGGATGATAAACAGATTTACTTTATGTTCAAATAAGTCAAACACTCAACTTACCGTAGTTCTACTGACTTCTGTTACCCTGATTTATAGCAAATGACCTGGCCCAGTATTTTCAAGCTCCAGATGGTATTACAGAGAAGATGGAATAATTACCGAACAAGTATCCTCTTCAGCAACTGCTGATCTCCTTCAGAGTAGCCAGGCCAGTCCTTCTGCACTTCTTTGTATACGCCATCTTTCAGGGTGAAAGTGCTGTCCTTTGCACTCAAATTTGCCACCTGAAACAAAAGTAATTTGCAAACAACTGTTAGGGTTTAATTTTCTCACTTCTAACAAAAGAGATCTGAGATGTAAGTAAAATCTCAGCAGACTTAGCAGCAGTTAGTAGCGTCAGAGAACAAGTAGAGACTTTACGCTGCATTTCCTAGTTATTTTGATGATTTAATCAAACTGTGCCTTTCCTTCTGCCTTGTTATTGCAATAGTTTGTTACAAGTTTCCAAAGGATATCCAGTTTTACTGGGAAACGAGTGATATCTAAACACATTATTCAGCTTGGTTAGTCTGGAAAGGTACAACATCAGTTTATGGAAATACCTGGAAATAAACCGTAGTGGGAACAGGCAGTTCACTTACCACATCTGTCCAATAGCTAAAACGGTGCAGTTTATTAGCTGATAGAGCAACTCTTGCAGCAATAGCTTAGTTAACAATTGTCAGAAGATAATTTCTCACTAACAAGCCAGTAAGACAGGGGACAGAAAGCTACATTCTCAAGGAGCAGTGAAGAGAATGCCTTGCAAATATAATGCATTAGGGAGCTTGCAGATGACACCGAGCAGCAGTTCAGTGCATTGGGATCATCTGCTGGATTTCACGTAAAACTTTTCCGAGGACTACTTCAGGGCAAGAACAAAACCTGTGATTACCAGTTTATAACCCATGGTTTTACAATAAAGCATTGCACCTAAATTACCTGAGGCAGTTAGCTCGGTACACTTGCAGGAGAAACTTTGTGACATTTTATCTATTCTGTAGGGTGTAGTTTCCCCACAAAACTCTGTATGGTGCCTACACGGATAGGAAACACTGCTGGAACCGGCAGAATTGTGTTAGAATGGAAACAACTTGTTAAGAGTTATCCCAGTTTAATCAGTCTTTCCAGAGCTAGACTGAAAATTTTACTTCTTGCTGCTGGTTACACATCTGAAAAATACAATGTTAGCACAAACCAAAAAGCCCCAACTAAGCTTTCACAGATAGTGTCTTAGCAAACCCTTCTCAGGTGATTGTAGAGCACTGCAAGTTTAGAAAGAAAACAACGCCTTACACTTGTTTTTATAACAGGGATGCGGAGGTGCCAAATGCTATGGCCAGGCTGATCAACCGGCAAAGCCAGCAACCGCATCCCAAATTCACTGCTCTAGCTGACTGTATCACGCTTGAAACTGGAAGATGCTGTTGTTCAGTCAGTGGAGATACTGTGCATCTGTTTAAGGATTCGTGTTCTCCATTGCTCGCTCCATTTAGGAGACAGTTGTGCTTATGAATTTCTATTATCCACACAGCAGTAAAATAGCCTCAGAAAAGCAAGTGAAGGAGTGGAAAGTCTTGAATTAACTGAAGATGCTGTTAATTCCTCTGCTTTTGCTTTAGGGAGACTATGACCTAATATTAAAAACCTCTATGAATTTAAAAGCAAAAAGCTGTAGAACTAATACAGCAAAGCTCTCCCGATAAGCATAAAATAAAAAGCAGAGTTATCAGTTTATATGACGAACACTTTGTTTTTCCTTTCAGTTCTGTCAGCTTGCCAAAATCCTGAGCCAAAATACAAGAAGAATTTGAGCTGTGTTTTACATTTAGATATCCCAGTAAACACGCCCAAGAGACAAAAGCAAAGACAGGTTCTTTTTCAAAAACTGTCCGAGAATCTCTTCGGTTACTGCCTCTTTCTACAGCGGGAGACATGCTGCTCGGCAAGGCTTGTAGCCCAGGCAGAACAACTCAGATTTTTCTCTGCACAGAGGCAGGGAGCTGCTACCTCCTTGTTTTGCTGGTGTGGGACTCCGCAAGCTCCACCCCAGGCCTCCCAAAAATAGAAACCTTGCAAAACGAGGCAAAAAGGCCAGCAGGAACACAGAGTCCTAGGAGAGATGCAAAAGCACAATGAAACCCACACCTAGACATATTTAGACATGTAGCTTTAATGCAGCCTGTAATTTTTAGCTTATCTATGTCTGCTTGTGGATGGGAGCCTTGGTAGCACTGAGAGGAGATTAAGTTTACGAGTAATACGTTTACAGTCAAATCAGTGTTTAGCCCCATCAGGCTGACACTGCGGACACTACCGAAGACACCACTTGCCTGCTAGGGATTTGTGAGAACATCAATAAAAGGTGATTATCAGAAATAGTATTTCTACTATTAAACCTATTTATAGCATTCAAAAGGGTGCTCAAAAGAATTCTAGCGCTGCTGGAAAATGAATGGCTACAGGATTAAAATCTAGGGAAGGAGGCAGTTGTGCCAGCAATAACTCCATTTTCAATATGACCTGCCCTGTGCCCTTGGACAAACTAACTCCTCACTGTCTCATACTCTTCAGCTATAGAAAGGAATAAAAACAATTAAAAAAATAAATCCAATCCAAAAGAGGGCAGCTGGAGCATTTAAACAAATATCCATGATGTGTTTTGCACTGTGAGAGCAATAAAGGTATTTACTGCAATTCCTAAAATGGCACCTCCAACATGACTAAAGTGTTAAGAACTGATTCAGCTCGGAGACAGCTTTCACGCTTGACATACAAATAATACACTTTGCAAGAAGCTGCATGATCTTCACACCTAACCAGTTGCACTTCTAAGCAAGAAAGGCATGGGCCTGAACAATACAAAGATGTAAAGCTTAGTGGAGAGACATATATTTCTCCTTCACAGAGGAAACATTACATGTATGAATATAAAACATGTTCCTTTATGTCCACGTTAATAAAAACGTATAAAACCGATTTATAGGTTATAACAATTCAAACAGCTCATAGATCCTCTGTTGCATAATTCCCCCCACGACCAGCCAAAAGCGTTCCTCAAAGTAACTGATCTGGTGAACCAAAATCATACAGCTTAGTTGCATCCACCTAAACCAAGACGTATACACGAAGGCCTTCTGCTACCTCTAGCAAAATAGCGATGTGAATTGCGAACTTCTGTCGGACACGGCCTTTAAAGAAGCATTCAGCCTCAGCTTTGAGATACACAGGTTACGTTCAGACTAATACAGAAGTCACGACCATTCTGTGAAGACATATCCCTTTACCTAAATCGTTGCCTTCATCAGAGTACAAACCTGTTGCAGAAGGTTGTCCAGCAAATCCTTGTCCTGCTGAGAAAGTCCATCCTTCTGCAATCTGAGAATAAGTTCAGGTTTCTTATAAGGCTTTAGTGCCAGTAAGTGCACAACCCTATCTTTGAAGGGTCTCTGAGAAATCGCACTATTGCCTCTCTTTATTGCACTGGCAAGGTTGACTGGCGTTGGGCGCTTCCTGGAGGGAACAGCATCGGAAGCTCCTGGTGCAGGTTTACGCACCTGAACCTTTTTGCCTAAAATGAGATGAGAATAGTGAACTGCAGCAGTCACCTTGCAAAGGCCAGTGGTCTGTCAACACATATATGGAGTTCATCAAACCATCTGAAGTGGCAGAAGATGACAATGAAGGACAAACACAACCAGCACACCGCATCCGTTCCAATATGCCGCCGGAACGAGCATCCCATGAGTTTTATGATTCGTGACAAGCTTGTAACAAGTAAACAGCAACACCAAGCTCTGGAAACCTGAGAATTATTGGCCGCAAGCCTACATAAAGCTCTCTTTGTTTGCCAGCTTTTCATTTATCCCAAGTCCATGTATCCCCATGGTTAATCTAACCATTTTTTCCCTCCCTATGAGAAGAAAATTCTGCATTATTATGTAGAAGAGTCGAAATACGGAGTGGAAAGAGCAGAACTGGTCAACGAGCGGCTCCCTGCTGCTGATCTCAGCAAAAATGCTACTCCAGCAGATGTTTCTGCTTTTAGAACAATAGGAACTTTATGGGGCTGGGTCCACCTCCCCTCCCCCCGCCAAACACAGCCCCATGAATGGGGTCTAACACCGACACATTAGCCTATTCATTAGTGTGCTGTCTATTCTAATAGAATAACCCCTTCCACATTGCAGTAATAACTGTTTCACCCTCTAATTACATTTATGTATACGTGAGAACATTAAGCTGTCTCAAAAGTTCATCTCGAGCCCTCAGAGGCAGCCTCCTCAACTCCGTCCCAAATGTGGTTCTTGGTTTCTGACGGCATTATACAAGAATTCATTTTCCCATTCCTTTCGAAGAACCCTCACAGAAGTCCCACATCCCTTACGAAACAACAAATCAAAGAATTCGGCTACTCTGAACACAGACACAGGTCATGAAGGCAGGTTTCTGCTACCAAAGGCAAAACCAGCAAACAGAAAAAGAAAATTTGTAGGTTCCAAGGTCTAAAACATGGAGATGCAATCAATAATCACGTCAGTTCAAGAAAGCGACCTTCACCAGGACAAACAACATCCACCATCCATGCAAGAAGTTTGGAGGTTTATTTCAGCGTGGCAATTCTTCGCTGCTAGGAAGCAATGTTTTCAACTGAGTCATCTGAAGATACTGGTGATTGTCTGCAGTGTTTATTCTACTGAAATGTAGATTGCATAACTGAGTCCCCATTTCCTGGCTTTTTATTACGCATCACGCTGATGCAAGTGAGTACGACCCATCGTCGGCAGGGCTGATTTAAGACGAGATGGAGAAAAACAACAATTTACACAGTAAATGTCCCAAAATTCAGAGGTCAACTGGACTTCATTTCCAGAAATGGGACAAGAGGAAATTTGTCAGCTTTCTAGAACTCCCTTAACTCTTGCCAGGTCATGAACAGCAAAAACACATTGGGACATTTCCACTTAAGGCTGGAGCCAAAATGCACAACGATAGGAAAAGAAAAAACTAAGTTAAGCCAGAACACAAGAGTCTTAACACATTTATACATGTGCATATATATAGATGTACACACACACATTTAGTGTATCTATAAGCGCACACATCCCCCTCCAGACATATCATCTATTTTTATATATATATATATATATTCCTTC